AAATCTGGGCGAATTCCATCTTCCTGTTTCTTTGGAAAAGCCACCTACAAGTTACAGTGTGTTGTCACCAGAAGTGAGTTCTGTGGTTTCAAACAATGCATACGAGCTAATTTAACAAACACTGTACTAGTGCAATCGTCAATTGAAGGTCGAAAGTGAATCGGGATTGCGTTAGTTTTGCTTTATTGCGCACTGTGATTGGTCCTGGAAACTCGCGCCATCCTCTCAACCAATCAGATGCAAAGTTAAAAGCAAGCACAACTTGGTCGCCCGCGTTTTCCTGCGCTTTTTCCCGCGCTTTTGGCAGTTGGATTTTTATTTTGAGTTCACATTGGCTCGATAGGCATTTTTCTTTGTTTTGATTAGCTGTTGCAAATGCTTTTACACCACTCAATTGAGAAGCGCTCTTTTAGCTTCGTGCACTAATTTGTGTGTTTATTTTTGCCATTTGAAGGTGCAACTTCCCGGTATGAAATGGTTAGAGAGCCACAAGGGTGTATTTCATGTTGCCGTCAGGGCTGTCTCTTCCATTTACACACAGGTAATTGTTATAACTTTTACTTAAGTTATTATGGACCAGTGTTAATATCTGAGCAACTTTGTACTTACCCCTTCCCCCTAATTCAAAAATCGTAAACTGGTAACAAGTTGGGGTTAGTGTTGTGTTAGGGGAGGAGAAGGTGTGCAGTTTCTCTCACACTGACAGTGATTGGTCAAAATGAATGCTGTATTTTTCTTGCTGTGCAGTATTTCATTTCCATGGTTATTCTTTTTTCAGGATATTCCCATTCATAAATTTCTAAAGATCTGTCATCAGATCGAAGGACGTGTTGCATCATCACCAACTCGTACCTCAGAGGGAAACCTGGAATCTGTTTTGCGAAAAAGCATAGTTGACTTGTCCAAGGCAAGAGAAGAACCTCTTGTGAGGTTCTTGTACCTGATTCTGGATAAGCTTATTTTGCTGCTTGTCAGACCACCAATAATTTCAGGGACTGTAGGTAAAGAGAATTTAGAATATCCATCCATTGAGGCACATTGCGATTAAGTATGGTTAAACAAAACCTAAGTTATTACAATGGCTAATTAGAGCAACAATTTCACAACGCGCTTAGGTATCTCTTGTTGAATAGCGCCGGGCTGCCGTGCGGGAGGTCAAAGGTTCAAGCCCCAGACCGGACCAACATTCAGGGTCTTAATAACTGAGGAAAATGTGCTACCTTTGCTATGACATCATAAAATTAAACATTCTAGTCTCTGATAAGGACGAGAAACCTTTACATCTTCTCAGTGCTAGTGCGTAGAAAACGTAGTTCTTAGCGTTGTGATCTGGCCTCGTTATTGTTTACATATCTTTTTTTTTACAATGGGCCAGCCTGTCTAAATTTCGAAAAAAAAAATCAATAAATAAAGAGGAGCTTGAAGTAGAAACAAGCTAACTGTCCAAATGAAAATGTCGGTGACCAAGTATCTTAAACCTCAAACCTCAAATATTAAATTTTATTTAATTCCAAGTCTTATTTTTCTTTTGTTGAGGGATTATTTTCTTTCCCTTAGTAAACATTGGACAATCAGCTTTTGAGTCGTTAACGCAGATTGTCCATCGACTTCATGTGCTGTTAGAGAACAGCCAGGATGAACACGGCCGTAATCAGCTGCTGGCTTCATACATCACTTATGTCTTCTCTGCTCCTTACAATCACTCTCCACCATCATCACCTGATCATTATACAGGTTGGCTATTGTATTTCATCTATTATTTGGTTATCAGCGATGGTATCGATGGTATAATAGTCAGTGCACTGGACTCTGAATCGAGAGGCTCGGGTTCAGGACCTGGCCCGGTCATTGTGTTGTATTCTTGGAAAACACTCTACTCTCAGTACCTCTCACCACCCAGGAGTATAAATGGTTAATGGTCAGCGGAATGTCAGGGAAGCCTGATGAAATGTTAGGGGGTAATTGCTTTGAAACGAGGTCTTTTTGGGTGGGTCATATGGGTTGAGTACAGACCAATTTACCTACCAATTTGCTCCTTCCCATCGCAAAAACAGTAATGATAATGGTAGTGTGTTTTATATCAACATTCTCGCATATACACGAATTACAATGTTGTTACATTAAATTTTAAAAATAAAATTTAGAGATATGTTATTATAATTTAACTATGTAATGTACGATTGATTATTAAAAGATAAATTGTACTTGGAAAAAAAACCACGACGTAATCAGGCTTCCCGTTCTATACCTCTTTGATATTGTATGGTTCTTTGTGTTTCTCGTTTGGCGATGACGCGCCGACACCTTCGTCGAGGGAAAATGTTTGGAGAGTGGGCCCCCTCTTGGTATATTTTAAGGTGTATTCAAACAAAGTTAACTTCGTCTTTCATCCTAGAACCATCACGTTCAGCGAGTATACCAGTTGGGCTACAAAGTAAAGCAAGACAGAAGATGTCAAGCAGTAATCCTCAGCTGAACTCAGCGGATGAGCAGCAACCTTCATATACAACTGGAAAGTGGGTGGATGAGGAAGAGGAACCAAGGATGGCTGAGGTGATGAACTTGCCTGGCAACAGGAGCAGTATGGCAGAGTCTCGTCCCAGCTCCCTGGCTGTTCCTGGTCTTGTTCTTGGCAGCAGTAATAACAGGAAGGTATGCAACAGTGATTTTAACTTTTTTTTTCATTATTATTGTTATTATCATCATTAAATATTATTACTATTATTATCATCATTTTTATAATTTTTGTTAATAATATATCAGCCTTCAATTCCTTATTGCTAAATTTTAGCCTAGATAAATCTTACGTATTTGAATCAAAGTCAACAGATTTTTAAATATATTTAGTATTTCTTTTTTTTCAATAGCTGGTGCATGAGGAGTTGGCTTTGCAATGGGCTGTGGCTTCTGGACCTGTCAGAGAACTAGCAATGGGTCATGCTTGGTTCTTTTTTGATCTGATGGTAAGTTGACTTAAGCCATTATTTTCACTTGAATGTGGTACAAAGAAGGAACATTAGAACTTAAAATAAACAGTTTTAACTCAAAGAAAAATTTTAGTGTCGTAAAACCGTTATTAATCTATGAGAACTTAAGGTGAAAACAAGCATGAGAATCTGATTTTATCAACTGAGTTGTTAATGTAAATTGGTCAACGTAAAGAGTTTGTAAAGCTGACGTCTCGAGCGTCAGCCCGTCGACGGAGTGAATGGAGCAATTGTGGGTTATGAGTGGGTTATATACAGAAAGATGGAGCTGGGCTATTTTTGGGCGCATGGTAACGAGCAATACACAAGAATGAATTAATAAAGGGAGGTAAGTTTTAAAGTAACTGTGGTGGGAGATTATAACAGGGTAATTTGGTATTATAAACTTAATTGATAACGTAAATTGGTCACCTTTAAGAGTTTACTTTATCAACTCTGTTGATATTATCAAATTGCCGTACAAGAATAAATTAGT